AGGCAAACTAGTTCTTTAAGAAACTTGAATTCGACGTGTTGACGTCCCAAAATCACCAAACGGGGTCGGATTAGCACGAAACTTGGCACACACGACCGCCTAGGCACGAGAGACTTGTAGGAGAAGACAGGACTCAAATCGGGTTCCCAGTTTGGGAGTTAGAGCCGGATTTCGGTCTAGGCAAAATAGTTCATTAAGAAATTTGAATTCAAGGTGTTGACGCCCCAAAATCACCAAACAGGGTCGGATTAGTATGAAACTTGGCACACACGACTACCTTGGCACGAGAGACTTATGGGAGAAGACGGGGCTCAAATCGGGTTCCCGGTTTAGGAGTTAGAGTTGGATTTCACTTTAGGCAAACTAGTTCCTTAAAAAACTTGAATTCGAGGTGTTGATGTCCGAAAATCACCAAACAGCGTCGGTTTAGCACGAAACTCGGTACACACGACCGCCTAGGCACAAGAGACTTGTGGGAGAAGACGGGACTCCAATCGGGTTCCCAGTTTGGGAGTTAGAGTCGGATTTCACTCTAGGCAAACTAGTTCTTTAAGAAACTTGAATTCGAGGTGTTGACGCCCCAAAATCACCAAACAGGGTCGGATTAGCACGAAACTTGGCACACTTGACCACCTAGGCACGAGAGACTTGTGAGAGAAGACAGGACTCGAATCGGGTTCCCAGTTTGGGAGTTAGAGTCGGATTTCGGTCTAGGCAAACTAGTTTCTTAAAAAATTTGAATTCGAAGTGTTGACGCCCCAAAATCACCAAACGGCATCGGTTTAGTACAAAACTTGGCACACACGACCGCCCAGGCATGAGAGACTTGTGGGAGAAGACGGGACTCCAATCGAGTTCCCGGTTTGGGAGTTAGAGCCGAATTTCTCTTTAGCCAAAATTATTTACTTAATTATCTTTGTAATTATATAGTACTTAATTTTTTTTTATGTTTTTTTGTAATTAAAATATTAACACATAATTATATTGTCATTAATTATTTTTATTTTTTGTTTATAGATATTTCCCGAGTAGCAGTTTGCTTCTTGTGGAATGCAGGCGTGTGAAGATTGCAACTAACTTTTGTTTTTGTTACCTACGGAAGAATCATGAGGAAAACTTTTGTTTTTTATTTACGTTATTATAAATTGTGAACAACATTATGTATTTAAACATTGTATATGTATTATGCAACATTACGTAATAGGATAATTTTGTTGATGTGTTGTTATGAATGGAAGAATATTTTTATTATGGATGAATTGTTATTTTTATATCGAAATTTTTATATAGTTATATAATTATCGATTTCTTTTTCAGTTATTTTTCATTTAATACAGGCCATTTTCATATTTTTAATAATTTTATTGTAGTTTTTTTTTTTTTTTTTTTTTGGAGACAGCACCACACCGTCTCAAAAAAACATTAGAACCAGATTTTTTTTGCGGCGTAAGCAATCCCATCGCAAAAGATATTGGCAACAGTTGAAACAAAGAACCTTTTGCGACGGTATTCTTTGTCGTCGCAAATAATCTTTTAGCGACGGCATGTCGTGCTGTCTCAAATAAACTTTTAGCGACGGCAAGTATCCAGTCGCAATAAAAACACTTTCGTGACGGCATTTTTGTCGTCGCAAATAACACTTTTAGCGATGGCAACACAATGTTGTCTAAAAAAATCTCAGATTTTTACATATTAATGTCGACAACATAATTTCGTCGCAAAAAGGCAACTTTGCCGTCGCAAAAAAAAGGCAACGGCACTTTGTCATTGCTGAAAACTTTTAGCAATGCCCTTTGTTGTGACCACCCACTTGCCGTCGCAAAAAGTCAGTTGCCGTCACAAAAAAGTTTTTGAGACGGCATTTTGAGTATTGGCGACGGCATTTTGCTGTCGCAAAAAACTGAAATTTTTGTAGTGTAGAAAAAAAACTTTAAAACTTAAAGTGAAAAATGGCCAAATATAAAAAGGGCTTAGTATAATTTACCCAAAGATTAAAATACACATTTTCTAAAGGTTTGAAGAAAATACAATTAATCACACATGTTTAATAAAATTATACTGGATTGCTTTGAAGTTTTAATTCATATAACAATTACATTATATCTTTTTCAATAATTCGTTACTCGTATAAAAAATATGATATTGTCATCTATTTAAAATTAAAATATATATTTATTTAATTTATTTCAATAGATACTCACCATTTGTATTAATTTCATTCGAGGTGAGTGTAATTTACCCTACAAAAATAGAGAGCAAATTTGCCTTACAAATTTTAAATTCCATTAATTTGTAAATATTTTTAAACATGGCACTATCATATAATTTTCAAAATCTTTCCATTGAATTATAAATTCTTGCCCCCAAAAGCCACAACTAATATGTAATTCCCTTCTCTCTTTTTTTTTTTTTCTCTCAATTTTTTGGTGGTCTCACAAACAATTTACAACTCAAGTTAACTATACGGTATCTTTAAATATATGTGTATATGATTCAATTTGTGCACGCATCTCGAGGCACTCCATTCTTACCCGCCGGCACCCTATGTGAGTGTGGCTGAGGCTCATTCATGTTGGTGTAAGCCCATTTGTCATTTCCATGTTATTTCATCACATTCCGCCATCGCCTCGGTTTGCGTGCCCGTGTACACGCACTTCGAGGCATCTCATTTTCATCACATTTACCACCGCCTCGGTTTGTGTGCCCGCGTGCACGCATTTCGAGACACATATCATCGCCTCGATTTGCGTGCCCGCGTGCACATATTTCGAGGCACCTCATTTTCCATAGCATTGTACATGTTAGGATTGTATCTTAGTTGCATTTCACGCATATCATGCATATTGCATCATGTCCGGAATAGGAGTTAGCCCGGGCACGGGAAACGAGGTACATTTCGTACTCCGAGTGACGAAATGTGTCGCAATTCCCCAGTCATCGACACTCCGGATTATCCATGATGGAGTTAGGTTTTAGCTGTAGTTTCATGTGCATTCATCCTATATTGAGTTGTGCATTTCGACTCCTCGACCATCATGCCTCGGTATGCGTGATTGGTGGCACGAGGATCGAGACATGCATACATTTGTGTAAATACATTGCTATGCCCCTTTCCTGCTCTCTGTTGCAGCAAAACGCAGAATTAGCAACCTTTCGGGACTTGGCACGCATTTCAAGAACAGTTATAAACAGAGGCTAATTGGGGCATTCCGGTGGATTTCCGCGCAAGACAACCCGGACATGCACCATTCATCAGAAGCAAGGCAGTCCCTGGCTTGCACGCCAGTTTTACTTACTAGTTAATTCATTAATTAATTAGGGTTTTGTAATATTTTGGACTGTAATATTCTTTTATTTGGGACTGTAATATTTGGACTGTATTATTTATTCGGACCCTCCGAGTGAGGGCACAACTGTAATAAGTGTGCGTGAGTGTGATGTATGTCTTCCAACCCCACGTCTTTCTCCCTTTTATTTATCCGCTTATGATGGTTAGATTAGGGCATATTTAAATTAGCATACAGTATGACAGCATGTTTGCATTCATTCATCTGTATTGCATGCACCGGGCTCGGCGCATCATACTAACTGCATTGTACTTTCAATTCCAAATTGAATACATGATAGCTGTAGCATTTCATATACCATCTTAGAATAGCCGAGCCTGCTATAATTGCATTTTGTATGTGTTGCATTAGGCATTTCTGTATAATTAGGATCATGCATGATTTCTAATGAATTCCTATTTTGGCTTGGAGTACCCGGTAAGTTTTATGCTTTAGCATCCTTGCACGCGTGTGAGTGCTGCCATGAATAGTATGCTTACCATGAGGCTATGTGCTTATCTGATATAACTGCCTGAATGCCTGTGGGTGAAGGTTGGGTTATTTGAATTGGAATAAATCATCAAATGTTTCAAGCCTACCTGCGGGTAGCAAACCCTTTTCAAAAACAAGCATGAAATGTTTTGTTCCAATTTGGGCGACCCGATCTAAACTTATATGTTGTGAGCATCACATAGTAACCTAGGCTAATAACCGGTTTAAGGACATACAAAGTTTTCAAAAAATTGATATCATGGTTAGTAGAGGCCGGTCTATGACCGGGCGAGCGGGGGTGCTCACGAAGTGACCTTCCCCAATCGTACCCAAGTTCCCGAGCAGAAACAACTACCAACATCCACGGACACATGTCCGGATCACTGTACAACAAGGGTAAACCCGGGATCGCTATAGATACTCACCATTTGTATTAATTTCATTCGAGGTGAGTGTAATTTACCCTACAAAAATAGAGAGCAAATTTGCCCTACAAATTTTAAATTCCATTAATTTGTAAATATTTTTAAACATGGCACTATCATATAATTTTCAAAATCTTTCCATTGAATTATGATTTGCCGGATTTGGACTCTTTGGTTCAGATTAGGAACCGTGACATTTTAAGAGTCCGAGCTATAGTGACCCCAAATGAACAGAACGGGAGCTCACCCTCCCGGGGCGTTCGGGGGACGTCTACAGTCTCACAGACAATTTACAACTCAAGTTAACTATAGGGTATCTTTACATATGTATATATGATTCAATTAGCATGGTTTTAAAACTCATCAAACTTAAATTGAATTATCCGATATTCTAGTACCAAAATAAATAAATAAATTTCCCAACTTCCACAAATTAGGGTGTTCAAGGAGATGTTTTTAATACAATAATTAGGCCAAAAACAATTCAGATTAAAGATCAATCAAAACACAGCCATACGGTCTTTAAAATCCTACACTTTTTCGGTCCTTTTGGATTGAAACACACCCAAAGCCTTTGCATTCTTTCAATGAAACCCGTTCACAACCCAAGTTAATAGCTCCCGCCACCACCAATGCTCTCAAAACCATGAGACAGAGACCAAGGTCCGATCCAAACAAGTATCCACGAGAGCAGCCAAATCATCAAAAACACGTCAGAGATGTTTTCACATCCTATTATTTTTTGACATTGGCAGACTCTTCCTCCTTCCTCTGCTTGTAAGCCTCCATTTCTTCCAAATAGTTTTCCTTGTTTTGTTTTGCAATCTGCAAGTTCCCAAAATATGAAATTGCTGTTGCAGAGACACAAAGAGAGAGAGAGAGAAAGAGAGATTAAGAGAGAAAGACAGAGTTAATTGAACCTTTTCATAAGGCTTCTTCTGTTTCTTTGTCATGTTATTCCATTCTTCACCTTTGATCTCCACAACCTGTCAAACGATGCCAATTTTACAAATTAGCATATGATCAACAACAAGAATTCAAGAAGCTGAATGTGAGGCCTCTTCAATTACCTCCCAGACACCCTTGCTCTCTGCAAGCAGAGCTGCTCTTCGCTCATTTTTGAACATTAAAAACGCAGACATTGGTTGTTTCGGTTTCAACGGATCCTTTTCTTTCCTGTAGAAATTCAATGACACAAAGATTAGAGAGAGAGAGAGAGAAGAAGAAGAAGAAGAAGAAGAAGAAGAAGAAGAAGAAGAATGGGGGAGAGAGAAATATAGAGAAAATTACTGAATTTACTTTTTCAACTAAAGATAGCTCTTCCTCCAACAACTTCATGGCTTTAGTTGTGAACGCCAAAAACGCAAACATTGGCTGCTAATCCTTTTCTTTCTTGCTCTTCTTCCATTGATCTTTAAGCCATTTTCTTCTTTTTGTCTTTCTTTTCTAGCTCTTTCTCTCTGTTTTGTTTTCAAGAAAATGTAGGAAAATTTAGAGGGAAAACTAAACCAAGAATCATCAACTTTGAACCATCAATATGGGTTCAGTTTCTGAGAAAATGTAGGAAAATTACCCTTTCTAAAGCTCCTTCATTTTCCCTACATTTTCTCAGCAAAGATAAATACAACCAAATATTGTATTGAAGAGGGAAAAAAAAAGAAAAAAAAAGAAGAACCATGGTGGGTTTGAACGCTTTCATTTTTTGCAACTTCTTGAGCTCCATCTGAAGCTTTTCTCGCTTTTTTCCCCTTGCTTCAAGCTCCTCCTCCTCTGTCTTCAAAGTCTCCTCTCTTGCCTTCAATAGCTCCTCAGTTTGCTCCTTCTCGATCCTCAATTGTTGAACCTTTTCTTGCATTTCTTGCAACTCCTTCTCAAAAGATTGATTTTGTTGTTGTTGTTTCGCTTTCGTCCCTGCTTTCTTGGCGGATTGAGGCTGTGAGAGGCTCTCATGGTTTTCGAAGGTGGTGGTGGTGGTGGGGTCGGTGATGAGATCGAATGGGTGGGTTGAGAGGCTGTCGGTGCAAAAGAGGCGGTGAAGGATGCCGGAGTACCAAAAGGCGGCAAAAACCTTATTCATGTTTGAGAGAGAGAGAGAGAGAGAGAGAGAGAGGGAGAGAGAGAGAGAGACTGTGGAATGGCATCAAGAACTATTATGTGTTCTGAAAGATAATTAGGTAAAATGTGGTAGTGGTGTCACCAAAAGGTAACAAAACCTACATATGAAGTGGAACAATATGAAGGGAGAGTGATCCACGGAGTATCCTAATTTTTTGAAACAAATATCCTAATCTATCCTAATTTCCATAATTTGGATGATTCTTATTTTAAGACTTATTAGGTAAAATTATTAGGTAAAATATTTATATAAAAAATTAAAATGATTAGATATTAGGGCAAATCCCAAATCAATGTTTGTTGCACCATTTGGTCCTTCAGCTTATTTTATAAACTAGTAGGTCCTATTAAAATGGTAAAGATGTTTGGGCCGGTGATGTTAGCGTGTGTCTTGCAAATTGTAAGGGGGTAATTGTGGGGTTTTGATGATGTTAAATTTACCAAATTGACTATAAAGCGTACTGTAGTGTTTTTTTGGCTTCCCTCTTTCTCTATCAAAACATATCAGAGGAATATGGAAAGTTTTGTACTGCTCCCGATGTTAGGGGAATGATGATCATCCCAATATTTTGAAATCCCTTGTTGGCAGCATTAATCAGTCAAGAACATTACCAAAATTTCCATTCGTGGCCTCTACCTAAACCGTCGAAATTCGAAATCCCCATTTCATATAAACATTGCTGTATACTCTCTAACTCGTTCTCTCTTGAAAATCGATCATTTTAAGTTAAACTTAAAGCATGAATTTCCACTTTGCCACCATAATTCCTTGTTAATATATAGAAAATATCCAAATCGGACTATAAATCAATCGACAGTTCAACCAATCGAACTGGCTAGTGCGGTTCGATTTTTAAAACATTGGTTGATACATAATTAAATCACATAATTTGAATATAGGTAAAATATTTATATAAAAAATTAAGATGGTTAGATATTAATTGTTATATATTTAAATTAAATATATATTATAAAAAATAGATATTTTTTTTAAAATTTTATTTGTCATCTATTTTTTTTTGAAACAAATATGCTTTAAATATATAGCTACTGATATTCAATTATTTTTTATATGATAATTATTAGTATTGCTTCCTTAAATTTTGTGATTATTATTCCTAAAATTGAGTCTTCCCATTGTTATATTTCCTAAACTTTTTAAATATAATTATAGAAGTCTTTGAAGTTTGGTATGTATAATCATATGGATTATGATTCCAATTAAAATAAGGTAATTCTAGAAATAATAATCACAAAATTTAAGGAAGCAATACTAATAAATTTTGGTAATGATTTAGAGGATTTAAAAATTACCTTATTCTAATTGGAATCATAATTTATTTACTACATTATTATTAATTTTTTAAACAACATTTAGTACCAAAATTCACATTGCCTCCATTGATATTAAAAAATATAGATTGTGTTTGGTTTAATTTTTTAAATGAGTTTTTATTTGTCTTTAATAATTTTTTCATATTTAATTAATTTTTGTTAAATACAACAAAATTAGATACATCTTCTTATGTTGTGACATTTATTTATTTGTCTTGCAAAAATCAATAAAAGTACTCTATATTTTGAGTTTTCAAGACATTTGTATACATGGTGGTGTTTGGGGTTTTGAGAGAAACTAGGGTTTAAAATTGAAATCACAAAAGAGGGGTTTTCTATTTTTGGGGTTCCAAGTGTATGAGTGGTCCCTAAAATGAAGTTATTGTGTTTGGTTTATGATATTTGGCCTTAGGTGCGATATTTGAGAAAATGGGGGAAAAGCCCTAATTTATTATGATTGATTAATTTGTAGAATTAATTTGGGAAACATGGAAATATGAAATTGAGATGAACATCATGAAATTGGGGAATTATGGGATTGAATGGTGTGGTTGGATAAATAAATCACTCACCAATGAGAATGTTGATATTTTATCTGTTTGATAAATTTATTATCTGTTTAGAGATAACTGCTTTGGACTATCGGTGGAGGATGGTCTTGATTGTTGTAGACACCGTATGTTGATTAGGGATAACTGAAACTAATCATGTGGAATATGTCATTGAATATGACTGTTGGAATAATACATCGAATATGTGTATTGATTGATCATTGTATATGATAAGTGTTTAAATACATTTTATATGTATATTGTGTGAGGGGAGATAGGGGATGTACTCCATAGTTTGAGAGGAGATAGGGGATGCACTCTCAAATGTTTGGGAGGAGATAGGGGATGGACTTCATTGATAATTAAGTTGGCTGGAGTGTCCAGGGTGAAAGTTTTGAAATCTTAATCACGTTTGCATAACGTAGATAATTAAAGTATGGAAGTGTTTTAATGTGAGTTGTAGTTTCATTCGAATTGTGGATAAATGAAGCGTATTAATATGAGTTGTAGTCTCATTTAATTGTTTGGCCAGGTTCTGAGCCATGTTTATGAATCGAAATTGTATAAGTGAAGGAAAGTGAAATGAAAAATGGATGTATCCGTTGTTGGATTGAGAAGTATCGTAAGTTGGTTTATAAGTGTTAACCATTTATCGAATGCTAATATTTTAGTTATTTCTCATAATTGGTTTAGTATATCTCTACTGGGCATTAGCTCACCCTATATGGGACATCATTTTCAAGTTCAGGTGATATGCCACCTCCAAGGACGTAGCTTGGGAGGTTTTGGGAGTTGAAGACTCTTTTGGTTATTTTTGTTATTTTGGTATTACATGTAAATTCAAGCCGAGGGCTTAATGTGTTTTGAGTTAGTACTCTCTTTTTGTAACCAAGTGTTGGCTTGGAAAGTTGTAAGCCCGTAGGGCACTTACTTTTGTTGTCAACATGTAATGCTTTTGTAATGAATACTCTGATAAATGGAAATATGTTTTATTCTCTTATATCCTTGGATGTCATGAATACCTTGGGTTTATATGTATTTTTTTGAGGGCGTTACAACTTGGTATCAAAGCGTACCGGGTTTTAATACTTTGGGTACGTGGAAAGTGGTTAGAACCACATTAGGTTTGTCTCACTTGTTAGAGACTTATGTATGATGTTATGTGCTTATGTGATAACATGTTTACTTGACTATATGGGTATGGAATTTAGTTTCTAGGATGTTGATTGGATCCTTGGGTTTCTGGGAGTCTTGTTGGAAAAGCACATGATCAATGCTGTTTCTAACCGGAACAGTAGCAATGCCACGGGACTGTCATTATCCGAAAATGAAATTCGTAAGTGCTCATGTGATTATGTGCTTACGTGGAGTGAATTACTGTTGCCCAATGCATTAGGATGTGAGTGTTATAGCTTAGGCACATTTGTGAATGTGCTAATGTTCCTGTTACCTTTATTAGGATGTCAGGATGAGGACGTGGTGGTAGGCAAGGTAGGCCTAGGAGGAAGGAGATGCCTATACCGGATGAGATTCCGGCGCAGTAAGAGGGGGTGGGCCAAGCCAATGTGGCCGAGCCAGTAGGTCAACAGGCCATGGGCACCTTAGCCTGCGAGATGGCAGGAGCATTGAGGGAATCCATAGACATTCTTAGAGCTGAGAATCAAGTCCAGGCCCATGTTGCTGAGACAGGGCCTTCTTTTCTAAAGAGGGAGTTTTTCCGGTATAATCCGGATGAGTTTTTAAGGGATCTGAAAGAGCCACTTAAGGCTGATGAGTGGCTTGAGTAGATGACGAAAACGTTTGAGATGCTTGGCATCGAAGACGGGGCTTTGAAGGTGACTTTGGCATCTTTCCAGCTGAAAGGAGATGCAGGTCAGTTGTGGAAGTTTGTGCGAGGTCGTATTGGAGGGACTTGGGAGGCTTTCGTTGGTGCCTTTCAGGAGAAGTTTCTGTCTCCCACTGCCAGGGAGAAGTTGAGGGATCAGTTCTGTCAGCTCAAGCAGCTGAATACACTAGTGGCCGAGTTTGAGGCCGCATTACCAGCTTATCTAGGTTTGCACTTGAGCTAGTGGCGTCTGAGGAACGTCGTTGTCTTGAGTTCGAAAAGAAGTTGAAGACTGGGCTCAAGATGAGGGTTGCGGGGTCCATGACTCGAGAGTATGGATGCCTTGTGGATGTTGCGGCGCATCTTGAGATTATTATACATGAGGAGGATGAGAGGTTGAGGGGCTCCAAGAGGAGTTAGGATGGCCAGGGGGATGGTAGGAGGCAGAGGGGTTCTAACCCTCAGCAGTCCCAGGGTGCTTTTGTGAGATCTACCTTTCCAGTACCGAGTGCAGGCTCTGGGAAAGGCAGTCAGGAGACTTTACTTGTTACAAATGTGGTTAGCTAGGCCACAAGTCTCCAGCCTGCCCGCAGAGGGGAGGAGGTCAGAGAGCAGCTTCATCTTCGGCTCGTCCTCGGAGCCAGAATCCGGGTAGAGGTCAGCCGTTCTCTTGTTACCAGTGTGGTCAGGCGGGGCTCCTAAAAAGGTTCTTCCTGCAGTTGAGTGGCACATCTGGTGTATCTGGGTCGAGGCAGAGTTTTTAGCCAGCTCAGTCTATTTAGGCCTCGAGGTCCAATCAGGGAGCCTCATCATCTCAGTCTGTGTAGCAGTCTTTTGCTCCGAGAGGTGAGCAGGTAGATCAGAAACCTTCTGGGCATGTGTATGCTGGTACCGCGCAGGATCTTGTACCGGCTCAATCTGTTGTGAGAGGTACCTTTTTGTTTTGCAACTCGGTTGCTGATGTGTTGATTGATACGAGAGCATCCCATTCCTTTATATCTGCTGCATTTGCATCTATTTTGGGGTTGGAGTTGGTGCAGTTAGTTTCTCCTATTTGTGTTGTATCATCTGTTAGAGGTGAGTTGATTTTGAAACAAGGGTGTAGAGGTTGTGATATTGAGGTCGCCGACCGTCGGCTTCCATTTTCTTTTGTAGTTATGGCTATGTCGGGTTTTGATGTGATTTTGGGTATGGACTGGTTATCGTCATACCGAGCTATTATTGATTGTTACCTCCAGAGGTTCACTGTAT